CACCATGCTGTACAGATAATTCATTTAAGTAGTTTTTATACCTTAAAAAAAAAACTACTGAAAACAAGACCTTTCACTGTCAGTTTTCCCTCCCTCTCCTACACCCCTGCTTTGAGTCTAGTCAGGGTCTTCCCTCCCTCTCCTACACCCCTGCTTTGAGTCTAGTAGCCAAGGGTGACTTTGCACTTGTGATTTTCTTACCTCTGAGTGCTGGGGTTACAGGTCTGCACGTCCATGCCCAGTTAATATGCTAAGGACCAAAGGGTTTGTGCCAGTAGGGAAAGCACTGTAGCTCCACTCTGCAGCAGGGCCTTTACCTTTCCATAAGGGAACATCCCCACCCCCTGCCCCCATGGTGGTGCACGCCTTTAATCCCAACACTTGGGAGGCAGAGGAAGGTTAGATCTCTGAGTTCAAGGCCAGCCTGGTCTACAGAGTAAGTTCCATACACAGAAGCCCTGTCTTGAATCAACAACAAAAAAGCAAAACCAAAAGATTTTATTTATTTTTTCGAGACAGGGTTTCTCTGTGTATCTATGGAGCCTGTCCTGGAACTAGCTTTGTAGATTAGGTTGGCCTCAAACTCACAGAAATCTGCTTGCCACTGCAGCCTCCCTTCTCCCTTCCCCAGTGTGGGGTCTAAAGGCATGCGCCATCACCAAGAGCTAGTTCCATTTATTACATATGTACATCTGTGTGCATATGCACCTGGGTGCCCACAAAGCCCAAAAGAGGGAGTTGGAGCCATTAGCAGATGGTTGTGAGCCACCTGGTGAGGATGCTGGGAATCAAACTGGTCCTCTACAAGAGCAACAAGTACTCTTAACCTTGGAGACAACTCTCCAGTCCCAAGGGAAACAGGGCTTTTCTTTGGCATTTACAAATTGCAGGCATCACTGCTGTTAAACTTTGATGTAGTCATTAAACTGAAGGAGGTTTATTTGAACACACATTATCAGTCTGGTAGCTGAGACTGGTTAATGGCCAGTAGTGTAATTTTCTTGGGCAATCTAAATTCACATGTAGGTATGTGACAGTGTGAAATTTTAAGCTGCAGCTCGCTTTCCTGATAAAGCAATGGTTCTCAACCTTCCTAATATTGCAACCCTTTAATACAGTTTCTCATGTGGTGACCTCCAACCATAAAATTGTTTTTGTTGCTACTTCATAACTAATATTGCTATTGTTATGAATTGTAATATCTTTTTCAAGTTAGAGGCTTCCAGGGCTCACTACCCACAGTTTGAGAGCCACTGTGTTAAAGGGGTAGGAAAAGCCAGGAATGGTGGCACATGCCTTTGGTCCTAGTACTTTGTTAGTAGAGACAGATCAGTCTCTTGAGTTTGAGGCTGGCCCGGTCTGTATAATGAATTCCAGGTCATCTGAGTTACATGTCAGAGAGAGGATGGGGAGAAGGAGGGAGGGAGAAATTTGCATTTACTATTTTAGGAATTCTTAATTGTTGTATATGACTATGGAGTGTGTGTGTGTGTGGGGGGGCTAACCCTGCAGCATGGTGCCTGTGTAGAAGTCAGAGGGCTTCAGTGACAGAACTGTGGCTTAATGTGGCAAGCTTGACCTGCTGCACTGTCTTGCTGGTCCATCAACTAATATTTTTTGATTGAGCTTGACCAAGGATAACTGCAGCTGTGGAAAGACAGATGGACTTCAAGGGGAGAGTACCATAACTGCACAAAATACAGAGATGGAGCTTGCTCAGAAACAGTTAAACAAGTGAAGCAGTAGGAATTGCATCTTTGTTACTTAGAGACCCATACATTGGTAGTACACAACACGCCTTTAGTCCCAGTACTCCGCAGGCAGATCTCTGAGTTTGAGACCAGCCTGGTCTACAGATCTGAGTTCCAGGACAGGCTCCAAAGCAACACAGAGAAACCCTATCTCGAAAAACAACCCCCCCCCCAAAAAAAAAAGTAATGTCTTTCTGATAAAGAACTGTGTAAAATCTGAAGGTATTTTACAGTTAACTGTGTTAGACAGTAGCAAAAGAGATTATTTTATACCCAGTATTTTCTTATTTCAGTGGGTAAGGGTTTCAGAGCCTTATTCTCATAATTTATGCTGCGTTTGGGAAAAAGTGCTTCATCAGGTAATTATGGATTCATCCATAATTCCTGAAAGGAGGGATGTTTTATACTTACCCACAGTGTATGTTCCTTCTGTGCTTTGTACGTACTTGTTGTTTTTGAGATGGGGTCTTGCTGTGTAGCTTGCTGGGCCAGCCTTGAACGCAAACCTGTGCCTCACCGCCCTCTAATGTGTTCTCTGGGAACAGTGCCTAACTAAGGGTGGGTAAACGGGTGGCAAGTGAAGGGTGATTTTGGAGCTATTTTAGGATCTGATCTTGGAGGTACGTCTGGTAGTTGTTAGAGCTTTAAATAGCTGTTACTATGTATAATCAGGGAGTGGTGACTTAGATTTTTGGACCCTGTCCCCTTTTTCCAGCTTCCCTTTTTCAAGGAACGCTGGGATAAAATAAAGCAAAGTTGAGGAAAGACCAAAATGGGAGAAATATTACCATCTAGTTTCTTCACTTTTTGCTCCTATACTGATTTTTACTATTTTTTTCTCCTTAAAATAAAGGTAAGGCTCTTTTCTAGATTTTTCCTAGTTAACTGTCCTGGGGGGAAGGAGCAGTCTCTGAAGTACAATGAAGTATGCCTGGGAGGTGGAGGAACTGTAAGGAAGTGCAATTGGATTGAACAAAGGTTGGGGTGCAGGATAGCTTAAGGTGAATTGGAAAGGTAGGCAGAGAGCAGGAGTCCATTGCAAGGCTTTGACTTTTAAATATATGGGGAGGTAGACCCAGGGAGTAAGATAGTAAGGTCGAGGTCAGAAACTGGGAGAGCCATCATGTGACTTTTATTGGGGGAAAGAAATGGGGAGGGGGAGGCAGGTCTCTTGGAGACAGGTGGCAGGAGGCATGCGCATAGAGACCGAGTCAGGACCCTGAGGAGGCCAGAGTACTGCCTGAATATTAGCAAGTGCGTGCACATTTCCTGCTAGGTCCCCACTGGCAGGCCAGTCAGGCGCCTGGATGCTAACGCTCATGTCATGGTATTTCAGTCTGCCATTTGAGAGCAGGCAGGGGTTCAAGCACCCAGGTAGGAGTGTGAGAAGTAGTGCCGTCACACATAGACTTCTGGAACCTTCTCTGACTTGGCAGGGATTCTCTGTGAAACACCTTGGCCGTCCTGGAATTCACTGTGTAGAGCAGGCTGTCCCCGAACTCACACAGAAGTCCACCTGTCTCTGCCTCCCGAGTGCTGGGATTAAGGCGTACTCCACCACTGCCCAGCCAGCTTTTTGCTGTTTTTAAAAAATCAGGGTAGATATTTAGCCTACTGGTGGAGATGGGTCAGTGATGTATTAACTGATGTAAGGAAAATTTGGGGGAATGGGGAAGAGCGGAAAGTTGGGTTTGGGTTGCTGTGTTAGTCCATTTTCTTTCATTCTACTAAAGTGTTAAATCTGGGGACTTAATGAAGACAAGAGTGAGTTTTATTAGGTTGAAAATGCAAGGTCAGACAGCTTTTGTTTCTGGAAAGTGAGGACCTTTCCCACTGCTGGGAGGGAAATGGGCGTGTCCAGAAGAAGCCAAGCTTGTGGAGTGGTTTCACTTTTTACAGGAAAGCCAGCTTTACATCTCCTACAAGAAAAACACCATAAAGTTTTAATGATTTGAGAAAAGGTCACAAAAGGAAAGAATCGGTTCAAGAGAGCTGTTGGAGCAAAGTTCTTACTGGGGATTGAGGAGAGAACTGTAACCAGGAGGTGAGGGTGGCCTTGGTAAAGTGCTCTGCTAGTTGAAGGGAGCTAGTGAGAAGCCCAGCAGCATGTGGGAATGTGTGCAGATGCTGTCAGGGAAATGTAAAAGCTGTTTGCCTTCTCATGAAGTAGGAAGCAGAGTATCAGTCTACAAGCAGGGATGGAAAAGGGTATTTTGAGGTTTTGCTAGAATAGAATGTGATATGATTATTGGGGAACATTAAAGGTCCTTCACAAGAGTGTCAGTTTTAGGCTTTTCGGTGTGGGACAATGCATCCTTCCCTTACATCTCTTACACAAAGACAGGTCCTACTTTCTAGGTCTGGCTGATCTTGAACTCAAGAGATCTGCCAGCATCTGCCTAAGTACTGGGATTGAAGGGTGTGCCGCTGTCACAGTACCCGGTTTCCTAGACTTGTTCTCATCTCCAATACTTTATTATAGTTAGCAGATGTAAAAATCCCATGGGAGGAAAGTGCGAGCTTAATTTGTTATAGATACATACATAACATTGTGTTAGGCACTACAAGTCATCTAGAGATGGTTGAAATACACAGGAAGATTTCTGTATCTTAAATACAAAAACTGTTCTATTTTATGTAAGATACTTGAGCATCCAGAGATTTTGATGTCTTGAGTATTCTAGACCTAGTTAGTTCAGCCTTGAATACAAAGAATGACCAAATTTTTTATTAAGGGAGAGCTCAGTGGCTGTGGTTTTAGTAAAGTTTACAACAAGTTGCTTTACCTTTTGCAGCAATCCTAGTGCCATTTTTCTTCCCTTTTACATGAATAAAATTACCTATTTCTGTCTATCATCCGTCCATCTGTCCGTCCATTCATCTCCATATCTTTGAAAGGGTCTCTACATAGCGCTGGCTGCCTTGCAACTCACTTTGCAGACCAGGCTGATCTTAGAGTCACAGAGATGCATCTTCATCTGCCTCCCAAGTGCTGGAATTAATTAAAGGCACACACCACCATGCCCATCATAAACAGTCTTTTTAGCATTTATTTGTGAGGGGGATGTTTGTGCACATGTATGCCATGTTATGGCATGGCTTAGGAGTCAAACATTCTTTGAGTTTTACATTTGATTAGCTATCACTGGGAGATTCTTTTATGTCTAAAAAAGATGAACTTCTAATTTCAGTTTTAGTGTTTAGTGAAATAACATTTGCTTCACAAGTGTGTTTGTTTTCTTGTTGTAGGAAACCCAGCGTTTGCTGGCAGAACCAGTTCCTGGCATTAAAGCAGAACCAGATGAGAGCAACGCCCGTTATTTTCATGTGGTCATTGCTGGCCCCCAGGACTCCCCCTTTGAGGGAGGGACTTTTAAACTTGAACTATTCCTTCCAGAAGAATATCCAATGGCAGCACCTAAAGTACGTTTCATGACCAAAATTTATCATCCAAATGTAGACAAGTTGGGAAGAATATGTTTAGATATTTTGAAAGGTAAGTGTTGTTTGTCACTTACATGTGTCCTTTCTGTCTTAAGCATTCCATATTTAGATTGTAAATACTGTAATCTCATTTTATGATAACACCATTGTGTGGGAGGGAAGTTCAGCCGTTTGGGTCGGTTTTCCATGCTTTATCATTATCATACTGGGCCTGTTACCTTCGTAGATAAGTGGTCCCCAGCACTGCAGATCCGCACAGTTCTGCTATCAATCCAGGCTTTGTTAAGTGCTCCTAATCCAGATGATCCATTAGCAAATGATGTAGCCGAGCAGTGGAAGACCAATGAAGCCCAAGCCATAGAAACAGGTACTTTATTCTTTTATCTGCTTCTACTTTTCAAAACAATCTGTTACCCTTTGGTTTTTTTTTGTTTTTGTTTTTGTTTTTAAATGAGCTCAGATTAAAAGTAGTATAGAAAAGGAGATCTTGCACTGTGGGTTTAACCACATGGATCTAAATGACTATCTTCTTGTGAGCAGTGTGTGAAGGGACTAGAAAACTTGAAATTGTTTTATACTGTTTCCTTCTGGCTCATTGAAAGTGTACAGCAATTTGTAGTACATGGAATCAGCAAACTTCTTCCTGTGACAGTTACAACAAAATGAGAAACATTACTGTCTTCAGAAGTGAAAGACACAACCTTCTCCATTTGTTGAATTTTATGAAAGGTTTGAAGCTACTCCAGTCTAAATAGTGAGAACCTTAGAAAACCAAGACCTCTTTCTAATCATCTATACTGTTTGGGTAATGAAACATTCAGAAAACTGACCTGATGGAGTTTATAGGAGATACTGTGAATTTAGGAGAGTATGTATAGCTTAGCATTTCCATAGATTGTGTTCTTTGTTTATGGTGTTTGGAAAGAAATCTAATGAATTGAGTAAACTAACAGTTGCATGTTTGTTTTTATCTACAGCAAGAGCATGGACTAGGCTATATGCCATGAATAATATTTAAGTCGATCAGATCATCAAGTGTACATCACTTCTCCTGTTCTGCCAAGACTCTTCCTTTTTTTGTTTGCATTTAATGGACACAGTCTTAGAAACATTACAGAATAAAAGCCCAGGCATCTTCATCTTTGGTGATTACATGCACATTAGCAAATCTATGTCTTGTCCCGATTCACTGTTGTAAAGCATGAGCAGAGGCTAGAAGTATCATCCGGGTTGTTGTGAAATGTATAAAAGCAGCGGCTCTGCTTGGATTTGTTTCCCCATCATGGTTTAAGTACAAAGCACTGTGAATGAAGGTAGTTGTCAAGGTTAGCTGCCAGGGGTATGGGTGTTTTTATTTTTTAGGGGGAAAATAGTTTTATTTTAATTTTATGGTCTCCTTTCCCCCTTCCCCTCTTATGGGATCTAATTGCAGTGGTTAAATGCAGCTAACCAGTTTTTTTAGAATATGCTTTCTAGCCAAGTCTAACTTTAGACACTGTAGATGGACAAGCTTGATTGTCTGAACCAAAATGGGAACATTAAATAAACATCACAGCCCTCACTAATAACATTGTGACTTTGCTGTTAAGTGTAGATTCTCTGCCCTACCCCCAAAAGAAGAAGAAAAAACAAAGCTTGTGACCATTTTGTATGGCTTGTCTGGAAACTTCTGTAAATCTTATGTTTTAGTAAAATATTTTTTTGTTATTCTACTTTGCCTTTGTACAGTTTATTTTACTGTGTTTATTTCACTTTCCCGATGTGACAATCGTATTTAAAATTAAAGCGGATGGAACATTCTGTTTTGGTCCTCTCCATCTGACAAGTGATTGGCAGGCAAGAGGAGAATTTTACCAGTTTGTTTCATTGATGCAGATTTGTGTTAGGATTTACTGAGTGAGTATTTATAAACTGGCTCTGAGCATGCACGAAGCATCAGTATCTGTCCCTTTTTTTTTTTTTTTTTAACCCTCCTAGAAATTTTAAATAAATGTTACCTGATTTAATTAGGTGATCATTGGTGTCTTGCCATAATGTTTGAAAGTTGATCACACCCAACGGTCACAAAAAGGACAGGTGACTGTCATACAGGACTTTCACATGTCCACATTTGAGCCTCTGATGTAAGTTAGGACTTTTCTCTTAGTTCTTGACCGAAAACCTGATGTGTATTGTTTGTGCCATTAGGAAACCAGTTGAGGTTTGTGGAGGCAGTTTGAGTCTTGTAGAACCAATGAGCAGATCCCAAGCAAGTAAGTGTGTGTGTGTGTGTGTGCGCGCGCGCGTGCGTTTGTGTGTCTGTGTCTACGTGACCTTAGCTGTCCTGGAACTCAACTGTATAGACCAGACTTACCTCCAACTCCAGGATCTGATTGTCTCTGCTAGGATTATGAAGGTACCAGACCCTGCTACTCCTTTTATCCTTTATTTTGGTATTATTCTTTTCTTCCTATTTAAAACCATCTTTTTTCACCCTTTTCCACATTAACTTTCTGAGTGTTATTTTTTTAGTGATATCTATGTAAATGCTAACCTTACGGTCAGGAATCTGTCTCCTACAGTTGATATTGTAGCCCATCTGCATTTGCCTCACTCAATAACTTCTGGAGTTTCTTCAGAATGTGGTGTGTTTTATTGTGTTCTTATGTAAGATGAAGAATTACCTATTAAAATTACATTTTCAACATATAAGAGCTTCTGATGACTGGTAACTGGATCCTTCCACATAAATGCATACCTTGATAGTGTAAGTTTTAAAGCTCTCTTTTAGCAGTTGGTACGATTCTTGGGCAGATGACATCTTTTGGCCACAGCTAAGAAAGCTTTCTCTCATTTAAAACAAATCAAACAAAAATCCTCTGAGAACTTGAAGTAATTAGCCATGGGGTAGCATTTATTACTCCCTGAAAGCCAGTACTGCCCCTGGTTATAACTGATGCCACACAGTGACTTAGACTTTTCCCACACATAGGGTTCTAGTGTGCACTGAGGGCTAGTTTCCCCATATTACAGTATGATTTCCTGATTTCATGGCATCACTTTTTTTTTTTTTTTTTTTTTTTTTTTTTTAATTTTGGTGAGTCCCTGTTGTTCTGATGAGACTTACATTCAACCAGTTTGAAAAAGCAAAATCATTATATGTCTGGACTTTTCCTAAAAGACTTAAAGGAATCAATAGGTCAAAGTAGAGGTTGAATCCTAGCAACGACATCTGACCCATGGTGGTTTCCTTGACCAACACTGAATGGTTGGTTAAAAGCAGTGCGTGAGTTGCATGGCAGTATTTCAGAAACTCAGAATGTTCACACACAAACAGTCTAACATTAAGTGACCTACATATGTGGCAGTAGTAGATTGACCCACCATAGTTCGGGAACTGAGTAGCAGATACCACAAGGACCACACACTGTATTAACTCCCCTTTCTGTTAGGAGTTGGTTAGTCATTCCCAGCTTACCTGTTCCTGTATGGAGTCCTGTTTTCCTAAAAACCTTTGACTTTTTAGCCAGCCCAGCTGAAGGAAGAAATTCACTTGACAAAGGTATTTGGACATTTGCCTACTGCAGGTTGGGGAATGTAGATGTGAGTGAATAGCTTGGGCCTTGCTTTTGAAGGGACAGCTTAGCATGGGCCACAGCACAATAGTTGCAGCTCTGGTCCTGAAGGAAGGATGTGCTAGGAAGGCTACTTTTCTGGTCAGACAGATCGCTCCAGCCTCTAGACAGCGCATAGCGAAAGAGCTCAGTGAGAGGAGATATCCAACCTCTCCCCAGTTGAAATCCGTTCAGAAGCTCTAGTGCCGTGGTCCTCAGCCTTCCTAATGCTACGACCCTTACAATTATTTTCATTGCTGCTGCTATGAACTGCAATGTAAATGTCTGTTTACCAGTGGGAACCCCATGCTATCTGGGGGCTGAGACTCAGAGGTTGAGAACCACTGCCCTCAGGTATCAATTTGAGCTTTGTGGTCTGGATGGTTTTGTTCTGCTTGGTCATCTATTTTCCTGGGATTCACTTCCATTCACTGTGAGACTAGTTATTTTTGGTTCTCTCAGATCTTAGGCCTTCTGTATATATTACTGAAAACCTTCCACTAGACAAAGGACGTACTTGTAAGATAAGCCTCGGTGCAAACTGGTGTATCAGAGCCACGCAGATGCTGAAGGTGGAAGAACATCTGGTGTTCTGCCAGATAGAGTGAGGCCAGTCAGCCAGGAGGAGCTAAGTGGTGCCGTGGGGCATTCAGGTGGTCTAGGAGTGTTCTTTTGGCTGCTCTGACTACATCAGTCTGTATTACTGCAATAGCAAAGTTCTAGGAACACAATATAGGAAGGCTGCCCACATACAGAACTACAAAACAAGGTGAAAAGTTGGGTACCTAACTCAGTTTCCATAAGAAATATGTAATATTTCATGGGAATGTATTCTGGGGTTGGGAACATTTTGTTTAGCTATGAAGCATGCTGCCTATCCTAAGGAATTATATCAGGGTTTATATTTTAAGTAACACAAAAGCAAAACATGTTGAATGTAATAATTTCAAAGAAGTATATAATAAAAGTCTATACCAACTGGATGTGATAATTTGTCTGTTTCCTTCACTCTGCCCTCACGTCTTCCCTGTTTTCTACTGTTTCGCTGAGGCTGGGAATACTACGTTCTAAGAAATTAGCCTTTCCCACTGCTGCAGAACCCCTGTTAAGATGTACAGTGTTCTATCTGCATGTATGTCTGTCTGTAGGCCAGAAGAGGGCACCAGATTTCATAGACGGTTGTGAGCCACCATATGGTTGTCGTTAGTTGAACTGCTGAGCTGCCTTTCTTGCATGTTTAGGCAAGTAGTACTGTGACTGGTCTTTATTGCAGCCCTGACCTGTCAATCATCTGTATACAGCAAAGATGTGTGACCTCACAAGCCTAACACTGGCTGGCCTTAAGGACTCTGTCATCTGGAATTGGCTAGAATTTAGCCAGTGCCACTGGCCTAGAAGGGATTAAAAATGGAGAAGCAGGCCTTCCAGCACCAAGAGGCAGAGGAAGGCAATCTTTGCCTTTAAGGCCAGCCTGGTACAGTTTAGGTAAGCCAGAACTATTTTAGGGTATGGTAACTTTGAGTCAGAGAGCACTGTTTGTAGCTGCTATTCTGAGGCCAAAGGGTTTTGGGTCCCTGTATCCAAAGACAGTTGTGAGGCTTTGTGTAGGTACAAGGAACAGAATCCAGGCCCTGAAACCATCTCTTGAGCCTTACAAGATTACTTGTAGCTTCATTTTGCAGTGTAGGTCCATATTACTTTTTGCTAAGTAGTTTCTAGGGGAAATGAAGTCTAGGTAAGAAACAGAACAAGAAAACTGAATTTTAGGAATGTTCTTTTGGCCACTCAATTCCTAAGATTTTTAGGAAGCTTTATGCAAGCTGCTAAGTTGACTGCCGCCTCCTTGTCAAGGAAACTGCCCAGTGGTGCTAGCTGGGCAGACATGCATGCACAGATGCTTAGCAACTGAGCCTTTATGACTCCAAAAACTGAGACGCTTTCTCTGTACAACCCTGGCTATTTAGATTTGCCTGCCGCTGAGTCCTGAGATCAAGGGTTTGCACTCACTGTGTAGATCAGGCTGACCATTGCAGCCTACCTTTTCTCATGGGTTCTGGGGACAGAACTTGCTTAGCAAACACATCACTGACTGGGCTACTTTGTGAGATTTAACTGTGTGGGCATGTTTAGATTCCTGCCCGGAGGCCATTGGAGCTAGATTTACAGGCAGTTAGGATCTGTGTAGCTCTGGCTCTCCTGCAACTCTTTGTAGCCTGGTGTCAAACTGATTCCCTTTGCCTCTGCCTCCTGAGTGCTGGGATTAAAGGTGTGCCCTAATACTGCTGGGCTCAGACTTTCTCTTAGAAACAGTATATAGTCCTGGCTATACTGGAACTCTATGTAGACCCAGCTGACATTGAACTCTTATCTACCTCTGCTTCCCCACTACAGCCTCCCGGTGCTAGGATTAAAGGCATGTGCTCACACCCAGCCCAATCTGCTGTTTAGTGACGGGTCTGACACCTCTGTTCTTCGATGTGTGGTTTTTAAATGGAAAAGGAAGTGTACTAGAGCTTTGTGCGTGGGGTCCAATGGATGACAGCTAAGGTTTTACTGTGGAATGCCAGGCAGGCACTCACATGAGGGTATGGACGGCTGATGTATAATGATTCTGTACAGCAAAAGTATATCTTTGTCTAGGTATGGTTTGTGTGCGGCTGTCTGTGGCAGCCAGAATGTGTATCACCCCCCCCCCCCCAGCTTGATTTCGAGGAGATGGCAGAAAACCAAAGTCAGACCCTTTTTGAAGAGCAGCAGGTACTTTTAACCCAAACCATCTCTCTAGCCTCCTGAGGAAGGTATGCACCTGACCTTAAATTTCAGAAAGCTGATTAACTTTGAAAACACTACTCATGCTAGCTGAAAAAACAAACCCACACAGATTATGTTTCCATTTTTATTTGATGTTTCCAAATGTAAAAAAGAAAGTCAAGATTCTTACACCAGTTTGAAGGAGACCATCTCAAATGAGACCATGCAAAGCAATTATCTTCCTTTTCGCTTCATACATTGTGATTGACAAGTGGATGGCACTAAGTGCTTGGTGGAAAAAGTGACCTTTCTTTACAGAAAGGCCACACGGTGGTTTCTACCTTTCTGCAAGTCAAATTAACAGCGCTGTTTGTTTTGGAAACTTAGGCACATGGATCTGAAGAATGTAGCTGCCCCATCTTACTCAGCGACAAATAAGCACTGCACACTGCAGTGGGCTGACATGGCAAACATTACCTTTATAAGATCCAACTGCGTCTTGAGAGCACTCAATCACTTGCCCTAGGTTTTTTCCTCTATAATCTTGCTGGTCTGGGTCGGAGCCCCCAGGGGAAATTGGAAAAAAAATGAAGCTGTAAGTTCTTTGCTGTTGCATAGGTTAACATGTTGGTTTGCTACATGGCATTGGAGAAAGTCCTGACCCAGGTGACCCGGCTTCATCCAAATGTTTCCGACCAAAGAAATTATACAACATTATATATAGGCTAACTTTAGAGATGGTTGACATTAACACTGTACATATTTTACATGGCAATACACAGTCCAAGAGTTTATAAAATAAATCCATGCACTATTACCTCTCAGGATATTGTGTATGTATGACCGCCGCCCGCCCCCCCCCCCCCAAGCACTTGTGATGGTTTGTTAGCTGGAAGCAACATTCTATACAAAGCAGTCCAGTTTCTGTTGGGTTTCGTATATAGAGAAATTGCAGATCTGTGAGGGGGAAAAGTCTTGGCAACTGATAGAAAATGTCAATCTGGGCTTTTAAAATGTTTCATTTAAAAAGAAAAAAGAATACATGACCTCTGTACAAAGAAAAATATAAAAGGTCTGAGCGATCATGTGTGATTACACTACATAATTCAGAATGAATGCTACTGGTTGAGTTTTTCTACTTTACTCATTACTTTGACAGCATTAATTTGTAAACTAACATTTTTATTTAGTTCTGCTGCATTTATGGCACAAGATCTCATTTTTAAAACCAGTTTTCTTTACATCCAAGGACCATTTTCAGCTGCAATTACATTTTAAAGGTTAACAAGTTACAGAACAAATGTCTCAATGTACTTCCTGTTTTAAGCTTGCCAGTTAAGAGTATTTACAAAAGGTTAACAATGGCTACATAAAGATCCATCTCTTCCTCTTCCCACATCTGTGGAAGGCTTTCCCCTCCCCCTGCACTTCTGACCTCATGCGTAAAGGAGTTTCGCACCAGGCACTTTCACAGGATGCCCATTTTGAGCGAAGACAAGGTGTAATAACTTGGCTCACATGTTCCAGCTTCCCCACAGTTAACTTTAGACTTGGAAAGTGGGAGATAGTTAAATGTGCCCTCTGCCTTACTTAGGCCTGGAATAGCTGAACAGGAATGGCTATGTTCTTTAGCTGTGATGCAGTCAGCACTGACTAGAAATGAAGGCTAGAGATTCTAACCCTGCGGTAACCTGACTGTTTAAGTGAACAGATGTCATGAGATCAGAAACTAAAAATGGATTTTTTAAGAGTAGTCTTCATAGAGAGAAATGTGGCCTTCGTATATTCTATGTTAAAAGGATTATAAAGATAACTGGCAACTGAGCATGCTAAATGAACTTCTATAAACACCGTTTTCAGGATGAGAGGCACTCAAACCACATGCGAGTTGCTGACAGTATTTCCCTAAAATGAGACCTTGCTATGTTTTACATTGAATCACTACTGTGTCAGAGGGGAAACAGTCCTAATAGGTCAACAGTGACATACTGGCTGTGAACACTCAACTTGTTGGAAACAGTGAACTGCAGTACTTTGTCACCAAAGGCTACAGGACCATAGCAAAGAAACCAGCCCAAATGCAGTTTACAAGGGAGACTGCGACCCTCTTACACAAGTTCTGGGGTAAATATATTTCCTTTAAATACCGACAATCTTTTCAATAATTCCCAACACAAAGATCTGGTGGCTATTTGATACTGAAAGAGAAATAAAGAGGGGGGGCGCATGTGAAAATATCACCCAACAACTTATTTGACTTGGCAAAATAAACCACAGAATGATGTCAAGCAGACGAGGGGGAGGGGGATCATTACAAAATGAAACTCAAAGTAATGGGGCAGAAGGATTATAAGGCTCAAAAAAAAATCCCACATGGCTTTGGCATCTGGAAATATTTTTATGCTATTTTGTTGTTTAAAAGACTTGAAAAGCATCTGAAATGCATGCAAATTATTTGAAATCCCTGCACACGGCAAATTCAGTTTGCCATCAGCAGTCAGATGTGTCAGAAGTTTAAAAAAAAAAAAAAAAAAAAAAAAGCCTCTCCCTGTGACATGACACGGTGTGGGGAGGGTTCCCAGCTCTATCTTATACTGGATGACACCCCAGAAGGCTGTGCAGCAGTCACAAACAAGGCATTGTTATCTGGCAGGGAAGGGACCGTGGGATTTCCATTGGTTGGAGAACACCCCAGCTTTAGTTTTTCCAGGTACTCTGCATGGACAGGCTTATGACACTGGAGGACCTTGATAGCATCTTCTACTTTGAACCACTCTCTCTTCCTTCCTAGAGAGCAGGAGAACAGCAGTTACCACGAGGGCAGTTTTAAAAAAAGCATACACTATTACTACACAGTATTCCCTTGCTTTCCATTTCTTCAATGCCTTAAGGTGGGAGGGTGAGGCAATTCATTCAAATGTAGATACACACTCGCCTTCCCTTTAAAGAGACTGAAGTCAGTTATGGTGACCTGGGAAAATGTCAGTGGTGACTAAGCAAAGGAGGGGGGGGCTCACCAATATTAACAGAATCTTCCCAGTCTTCCAATATTTCAGTGACTGTCAGAACATAAACGTATGTCCTGTGCTTCCGGTCTTGATTCTGCTTGAATAGAAAAGCAAAGCGTTTTAATTCACAGGAGCTGACCATGGGTAGATGAGTCTTCCTGTGCATACGTAGTGAGTATTAAAGTGTGAGCATAGAAACGCATTTAGTAACGGATGTTTCAAGAATTCTCTGCACATCAAGGCACTGATGATCTGAGTTGGATCCTGGGAGCCTAAGTGCAGAGAACCATTCTCACAAGTTAATCCTCTACAGGTACGCATGTGCAAGTACTCCCAACTTTTGTTTAAAAATAGTGGGCATGGGAGTTAATGGCTGAAACCAGTACTTGGAAGGTGAGGCAGGAAGGATCCAGTTCCAAGGCAGCCTGGGCTACTTAGCAAGTTCCCAGCCAGCTGAGTTAAGAACCTGTCTCAAAACAGGAGACACAAACTAGCTCAGGTATTATGATGCACATCAGGCATCCCAACATTTGGGGGGGTTGTGGAGCCTGCACTATGGAGTCTCAAATCATAAGCTGGAGCTTCAGCACCGCCAATGGGAAAATTGCAAAAACATGGAGCATTCATTTATGTATGCTCAACTTTGATAGAACCTTGATCTGAGTGAATCTAAAAAGTGTAAGCCCTCACCTTTCTACTTTTACACCTGCCAAGTCAGTTACTACTTCCCAGTCACAAGTCACTAAGGGCACTGACAGCGGGAAGCAGTTTGGATATGCTGAGATACTCTCTAAAGGAAAAGCATGCTGGCTGACATTTTCTGTTAAATGGTGTGCTGTCTCTTTCACTAATAATTGTTACTTTTCTCCAAAAATTGGGCATACTGACAAAGATGTTAATTGTACCCACACATCACAGAAAATTTATGTTTCTTGGTTTCGCCAGGAGATGGTGCTATACAACTGTAAAACTGATGGTACAGGGCAGCTTTTTGGGTACTAACTTAGAACTTTTTTGCACACGGGTGTTTTCTCTGCATGTACACCTGTGTGAAGCAGATATGAGCTGCAATGTGGGTGTTGGGAATTGAACCTGAGTCCTCTGGAAAAGCAGTCAGTGCTCTTAACCACTGGCGCCTCTCCAGCCACGAGATACTCCCCCACCCCTTAGTTTTTCTCTGTATAGCCCTGGCCGTCCTGCCTCTGCCTCTGAATTACTGAATTCTGTCTGGTGACTCAACTCCAAGTAGCACATTTTAGTTTCTATATATCCAGGGTCAATATGCTGAACGGGGCAGAACCACAGGGCGGCCTTTCTATGTCGGCTCCCTCCAATGCATGGTCACGCACCGGTAACCATGGCAACACCACCATGCAAAGGAGGGAACGGCACATCCTTACCACTGACTTGCCTGCCATAGTTTGAGGACACTACCCAGTTCAGGCTGCTGTTTGAAAGTGGGGCTACTTTGTAACTCACCTCGAATATTCCCAAGAGTCTGCCCAATTTTCCTTTGACTCCAGCCTATTAAAGAAAGAGTTGGTAAGTATAATACTCATCTCTCATAGTAATTACATTTATAAGCGATGTTTCAGTTTTCCCCTGGTTGGTTAGACTGATTTTCATTTATCAAAAACTAAAATGGGGTGATAAAAGAAAAAATTACACTTCAGACAACAATTTGGGGAAAAAAAAATCTGAATAAAAACAGACTTTTCTGTAAGAACTAACAGACTCAGCCCTTCTAAAAAACCTGCTTTCTCCTTTGTCGAGGCTCCAAGAGCTATAATTCTCAGGCTTCCAATCACTGAAGGGTCTTAATTCCTCACCCCATTGCTACAGCAACCTTGGTGCTCTCGGAAGCTGGGTTGCACTTCCCTGAAAAGTGCAAGCAAGGTTCTGTACCCCCAAAGTTCAAAGGAAACACACATGCATGCCCTCCTCACTTAACCCCGACATGCTTTTTACTCAGGTAACCAAGTTCCTCAAGGGAAGGAAGGGACAAGCAGGGCACTTTGTGCATGAGGATATGACACATTTTACTGAATTTTAAGACAAGAAAACAAGCAATTGGCTTCTTTTTCTTTCTTTGAGACAGAGTTTCTCTGTGTAGCAGCCCTGATTGTCCTGGAACTTGCTTTATAGGCCAGGCTGGTCTTGAACCCACAGATCTGCCTGCTTCTGCTTCCTGAGTGCTGGCATTAAAGGTGCCACTGCCTGGCAATTGGTTCCTTTTTTAGTCTAAAATTTATGGCACACAACACAAGTGTCTCTACTCAAAATGACACTGATGCAGTTCTCAGGCAAGGCCATTATGTTATACACTGATCTGAATAAGCAATGGACAATTAATTGCATGTTAGGCTCACATTCATTTTAGCTGTTTACCACCAACAAGCACAAAACACGACTTCTTGAGCAGAATGTTAACTATAGCAACATAGCTTCTAACACCCTGCACCAGACAACAGAGGACTATTGCCTGCATTCATTCTTGCCTTTCCTCAGGGTCACCTGGGGAAAAGCCGGGGACCCTCCTGTGAAGCCCTCAGCAGTGTCAGAGACAGAACCTTCTCCTCTTCATCTCACCTCTTCATATACTTCCCTCACAGCCGCACCGCCAGGCTCCTCCTCTGGCTCCAGCCCTCCTCCTGGGACAATCCACTGGTCTGGGTAGCGACTGCTACTCACCAACAGCACCTGAAAGACCCATGGTAACCATGCGTTTAAGAATCAACACTCCAAACACTTCAGGGCTGTAACTGGGTCATCTCAAATTTCACTGAAATTACGAAGGGCACACACTGTAATACAAACGAACCGATAGCCTTTGAGGAAGGGTGATATACACGACAGCCCCTGTTAGCCATCCTGCCCTGTGGACTCATTTGTGTGAGGGGAGGTGTCACTGAGACAGGGTCTCACTGTGTGGCTTTGGCTAGCCTGGAACCCATGGGATCATTTAAACCATTAGATTTAAGAAGTACAGCTTTCTTCCAGTTCTTAGGGAAATGGTATTGAGGTCTGTTCTGGGATCATCACATTCGTTGCTTTGGTGAGTGCACGTATTCCCATGCACGCACGATTATACAGATTGTATGTTGAGTGAGTGTGGTCCTCATCACTCTGTCCACCTGGAGCTCACCTCTTGGCTACATGGGATAGCCAACAAGCCCCTGGGATCTGCCCATCCCTCTTCTCCTACCCTAAGGCTGGAGTCAAAGGTGTGTGCCTTATCCATGGATTCTGAATCCAAATGCAGGTCTTCACGATTCCCAGAACCTTACCCACTGGGCACTCCAGCCTCACGTGCCGGTTACTCTTGAGCTAGACTATTCTTCCAATGAAGATTACATAGCCACAGGCTGGTAACTGTTCAGCCATAAAATCTGAGTTCTTGAAGACAAGTACCGTGAGAAAGGAAGGGACAGGGAAATGCATGGCTGGGCAGGATTAGTTTATGCTCATGGTGAGGTAGGAAGAGGCACCTGCAGATTCCAAAGCCATTGATCAAGCTAGTCTGATAAACAGCTGTGAACTTATGGTCTAGAACAAGGCTGGCAAACTAAGTCCACCTGTTTTGAATAACAATTTGACCCTCCCTCGATCTCTCTGGTAACTTGGTATGTAAGTACAAGCTACCCTTGAACATATTCATCTGGTTCCTGAATGCTGAGTTCTATAGTACTTGCCAGGTGGGGTTATGTGGTGTTCAGATTTCATTCCTGCACACTTTCGCATACTGCCTGGCTTTCGTGTTGCTTCTGATAGCAGAGTTGTTGAAAACAGACCACACAGGATGCAAAGCCTAAAATATTCACCTGGCCTTTTATAGGAAATAGACTTCTGACCAAGAACAGCATTAAGCCATATATATTCCCTTTTAAAAGCTACTCTAGGGGCTGGAGAGATGGTTCAGTGGTTAAGAACACTGACTTCTCAAGGAGAACCTGGGGTTCAATTCCCATCAACCACATGGCAGCTCACAACTGTTTAACTCTAGTTCCAGGACACTCATGGCAAACCACCAATGCACATAAAATTACAAGAAAATTTAAAAAGCCACTCTTGCCAGTCAAGGTGTTATACTCGGTGGATCTCTGAGTTCAAGGCCAGCCTGCCTGGAACAGAGTGAGTTCCAGACTTAGTTCATAGTTTACACCAGCACTGAAGGAGTACTACACAGTCACTGCACAAATGAAAACCTGAAACTCATTATGTTTTAGAAAGGTGGTAATCACCAACTGTTTGTGAAGGTAGCATGTCTTAACCATCAACAAAATTACTGCAGTACACTTCAGCATGTTAAACAGGTCTTCCTAGGATAGGGGACACCACTCTGAACTTGCTTGAGTGGTACTTGGTATCAAACCCAAGGCCTCAAACAGGTTAGATGTCCTGGATGGCTTTCCCTTGCTGTGATAAAACTTAATAAAACCAAAAACTTGGGTGGACCAAAGGGTTTGCTTGGCTGATACTTCCAGGTTGTAATCCATCATTGAGAGGTCATGGCAGAAACTGAGGAAGAAACCACGGAATAATGTTGCTCACGGGCTTATGTTTATTACAACCCTGACCTACTTGCCTAGGGATGGTGCTACCCACAGTAGGCTGGGCCAACTCTACTTATCAGTCAAGACATGGCCTCAGTTTACCCAGAAAACCTCAGCTGTGTCAAGGTGAGTAAGATTTACCAGCACCACAGGTCAGCTGAGCTACAACCCAGTGCCCCCAACCCTGAAATTCATTCCCAATGTGGATACTGCCTTTTGACAAAGACACTAGCAATTCTATTTTTCTCCCTCTGCTGGAGAAGCTGCTGGCACCCTAGAGCTCAGAAACACAGGTGCTGACTACCTGAGAAATGATGACGTGTGTCACACTTAAGTGTGACGAGGACAGAGGTAGGTGTCTTGTGTCTTGTGCCATTTTGGGCAGCCAGCTCCTGGATCTGCCCTGCCGGTCCTCCAGCACTGACACACCCCACAAGAGCTTCTCCTGTGGGTGCTAGCGAGTCAACCCTCTCCAAGAGAGCTTCGGTTGACCATGCAACTCCAAATCCTTGTTCTTGTATGCTGTGCTGCTCACAGCTCTCCTAACCATGGAACTGGCAGGCTGGCCAATCCAGGGAAAGCCTGAAGAAACACAAAGGTCGGCAAAGTCTGCTTTGAGGGTGACAATATGTCCAAATAAAACTTACTTAAGATTTAATTAATATCTGCAAACGGCACAAATTCCTAATTAGAAACCAAGGAGCCAGAGTTGAGCAAATCTAGCTTAGCCATGGAGCTGAACTTGATGCACACATTGACTGGAGCGTAGTGACCTGGTAATGCTAAGGGTTCTTCTCTGCAAGGAACACACTCATCTTGCATCTGAGACTAGGCAGGCCCTGCTGGCCACTGTGGCTCAATGAAGTTTATTAAAATAGTCAAAGGTGTAGTGCTGGCCCTCCGTATCCAGGCTTAAGGCACACCCCATACATATGACCTGCAATTACAGCCTCTTATCCTAGTCAGTCAGAGATGTCCTGGTATTGTTGGCTGGATAAAATTTTTACTCCACAATTCCAAAGTAAGCCATTATTTAGTAAAGGAGTTTCAAAACCATTGGTATTCAGAATGTCTGAGCCTAAAAAAAAAAAAAAAAAAAAAAAAAAAATGAAACCCAGTGTCAGGATCTAGGAAGAGGAGCATCACAGTCCCAGTATTCTCATTCATGTCCACCCCCTCCCCAACACCTTTCAGGTGAGACAGGATCTAGTGTAGGTCAGGCTGGCCTCAAAACATTGCATAGCTAAGGGCTGACTTTGAACTTCGCCCTCCTGTTTCTGCTTCAAAAGCACTGGGGATCACAGGTGTGTTCCATGATGCCCAGCTCTTGAAAAGATTTGTCAGTGTCCATGTTTGGTGATGGCAGATTTGCAATCTAATACATTTCATTAGATGCTTCTCAGCCTGAACTTACATGCCCTTGATCTGCCAATTCCACTGTCCCCTCAACTTTCTGACCCAGAGCTGAGTGTGTACCAGTTGCCACTGGCAGCACATAGCTATCTGAGAAACAAAATAAAGAACTGAAGTGCTCATTCCAAGTGCCACATACTAGACAGACTACAAAGGTCCGTCCATAGCACTCACTGTGGGTCACCCTCTTCAGACGAGGTCAAAGGTGTAACTCGGTCACGCACTTCCTCCACACAGGAGAACCCTGCTCAAACTAAGCCCGTCCACTTCTACTTTACAGTCTGGAATCTTCAGGTGGGCAGAGGATAACTGTCTGCACAGTGATAAAATCAGCATAGCCCTCCAGTTTAAGGGGAAGCATGGAGGAGGAGGGCATGGCCGAGCTAACTCAGTATAGCAAAACCGAACCCAAGATTCACATTCTTGGAGAGGGGAGAAGGAAAACATAAAGCAAGGGCTAGCTTTTGTGGTTGAAACTAGAAAAAGAAAAAAACTGCTTATATAAAGCCATGCTAACAGAACTACATAAATTTTGGACAAGTGATTTAGCCTAACCCAGTAGCTTACCATTAACTTCAAATGTACCTTTCCAAAACAGGTCATACTTATGGGTATAGAAATAATTATCACATCCAACTACTAGCTTAACTAGGTTAACAGATAGTATCTGAAAAGCAGGGTTTTGTTAAGTACCCGACTTCTCATCTTAAATATTCCGTTAAGTTGAAATGAGGGCATAGCTACATTTGGGAGCGGGAAGGGAAGGGTTGATAAGAGTCCTGTGTGGTGACCCATGTGTGACCCCAGCATTTAGGAGGTGACTGGACGGTGGTGGTGTACACCTCTTATCCCATTACTTGGGAGGCAGAAGCTGGAGGATCTCAGTGAGTTCAAGGCCAGCCAAGGCTTTTACACAGTGAAATCCTGTATCGAAAAAGAAAACAAAACAGAGTTCAAACCAAAGTGGGGAATGGTGGCCACAGGCTGCATGCAAGAGGGAGGCAGAAGACCACAGGTTCAAGGCCTGCCTAAGTCAGAGTTAGGAAGCTGCCTTGGGGCCATTTAGTGAGTCTTGTCTCAAAAATAAACAGGCAATACAGTTCAGAATTCCCTTCTTCCTAGCATTCACAAGAGTGAGTCCCAGGGCTGCGACCTTTTGGGTAGGGAAGAGCAGAGAGTCAACCTCCAGCCTCATTCACGAGAAGAAGCAAGTGTTTCCACTGCGGGGCTACATCTGCAGCCCTTGTGTTCACTTTTTTTGAGATAAGGTGCGATAAAACTAACTAGCCTGGAGCCCTATGTAGAGCAAGCTGGCCTTGAACTTATCTTTTGCCTCAGCCTCCCTAGTGCAGACATGAAAGGCATGCATTCTCATGCACAATAAAAAACGAAAACAGAATGAGACCCAAGCCAGACATAATGGCTCATGCCTATAATCTCAGCAACTGAGGCAGGTGGCTGTCAAATTCAAGGCCAGCCTGGGCTACAGAGGGAGACACAGCTAACAAACTAAAAATCAATAAAACCAAAAACCAAAACAAAAAAAAAAAAAAAAAAAAAAAACCAAAAAACAAAACAAAAAAAAAAAAAAGCAAAAAAGCCAACCAACCCTCCCCCACCAAACCCCAACAACCCAGACCGGGCAGTGAGATTGGCTCAGCTGGTAAGGTCATTTGTTGACAGGACTGACCTGAGTTCAATCTCCAGGACCTACATGATATTGGGAAGGAACCCTACAAGGTGTCCTCTGACCTCCATGGCATCACCTCCCACCCAGACACACATGCAAATAGTTTTTCAAGTGGAAATTAATAAACAAGTTGAGAACAGTGAGATTTTTGGGTGCAAGCACTAGACACAGGGATTGTTTTCAATCGGTGCAGATTCGCCTTCTGTTTCATTATACCCTTGTGTTGCTGAGCAAATTAGACTTTGAATATCCTCTACACATGCAGAATCTAAAACCGTCAACACAATTTAGGGTTTGGGGGGGAGGAGGGGTTGGGGGTGTGAAGTCATTTACCCTAGCCACACACAACAGCAAACAACACTTTCTTACACCTCTATTGCCTTCAGAATGGAGCAGCTGACTATAATTTCCCTCTATCAACAGAAGACTCCAGAGAAACCTATCACAAAATAGTATCATTTAACACCCCTAAGCAAACTGACAGGCATCTGTCTACTAGGTGTACGATATGGTTAATATGCTAACTCTTACAGGCAAGCAAGCATTCAATTTTCTAGGGAAGCCATGGCTGACACCAAAGGAAAGATCAACCCATCAGGCTACAGAATAATTCTAGTATAATTCTTGTAAGACAAACAGATGCAAATAAATGTGAGGAAGTACTCCTCGCCCTTGAAGAACGGGGTTGGTTTCATGGCCTCAGGTCATTCTCTTTTAGGTCTGGGGGAGCTGCTCAGTGGCACAGACAGGGGGAAGACAAAGGGTACCGCAGGGAAAAAAGTTTAAGGGCTATCTTCGATTTTTTTAATGCTGACAAAGTAGTCTTTTTTATCTCTTGGCCAAGTATGCCAGTACAGAAAAGGGTGACTTCCGACGGGGTAAACGACAACCTGGGGTTTTATCACACCAGAATTCCCGATTAGCACCGATCCTCATAGCTCTAGTTTTTTTGTCTTGTGTTTTGAGATGCCTTTTTTTGCCACACCTTACTTTTTATGGTTTGATGTCGCTGGACTTTGATTTCCCACTGTATTAAGCTCTGCAGACTTATCTGTAGAAGCTGCAGTCCCTAACTCTGGGAGGTTAGGTTAAACAGAGCCACACTCAATATGCTCATACCTCCTCCTTGCGACTGTACCTGGATCCAACCCGGCACTGAGTCTATGTCCCATGCCCCCTCCCCAGTCTAGAATTGAAATGTACTTGTTTAAAACTAGGAGTGCCTTTCTTGCCCAGCAAGCTGTCAGGCTTACCTGTGAGGGGCTGTCTGCACCCGCCCCTCGCCCCCTTGGTAGGGGAGCTTTTCACCACTGTGGGTTTTTCCTTGCCATCCCAAGCCACCCTTGCAGACCACAGCCAAGTCATCCTCTGTTTGGGATGCTGGCCTCTCCTTTCCCATTCACCGCAGTCCAGTTTGAAATGACACATTGGGTTCCAGACCCAAAGCACTTAAAAGCGCTTTGGGGCCACTGTATCTCATTTGTTTGCCCTACTCTCCCACTATAGAACATGCCCCTTACCAGCTAAACTTCACCTTTACATCCCTGTTCAAATACATACGCAAATATGTTCAATGGAATTTATTTCTGGCTACCTACTCAAAACACGACTGTAATCTTTGTCTACACAGGCAGTGTCTCAGCCACTGTCTGGATGTTTACTGTGGGTCTGTCTGGAAGCCACACCTAAGGGGATGCTTCTCCACAGAACCAGCTAGCTAGGGAAGCTGAAAACCTAGAAACAACAGACCTGAACTCTCTCCATGGCCCTAGGACAAATCCCTTCTGCAACCTGAATTTGGTGTTGGTTCCTCTTCAAACAGGGTCTCACTAAGCAGACCATGCTGGCCTTTAGCTCAGAGATCCGTCCCCCTCTGCCTCCCATGTGCCATATTAAAGGCAAGCACCACTACGCCTGGCTCGATCCCCCCACCTCCAGACAGTCTTACTCAGGCTAGCCTCCTCCTAAATGCCGGGATTCCTGCATATCCCAACACCATGCCAAGGTCTCTAACTTTTTCCCATGCTATGTTACCTCTTAAGGCAGGAAAAGAAGAGGAAAACCAACAGGGTGGAGAAAAAGGAAGGCCTGTGTGACACACACACACACACACACACACACACACACACACACACACACACACACACGCACAATGCAAGGGACTCTACTCTCAGAAGAACCTGTTCTAGCCGGGTTTCATCCCTGCACTCAGGGGAGCCAATGGGAAGCTTTCTGTAGCCTTTTAGGGTCAAACAGTAATTACTATTTTTATTTTAAGTTACTCTCATCTTTGAAACATACATTTAAAAGTCCTAACCAGGACCTACTGAGTTCTTACCCATTAGTTAGACAGGTGGGTTCAAGCAACTTGTAGTCTAACCCTGGACCGGCAGCAAAACCATTTCAATAGGGAAAGCAAATCTTCCCTCCACATCTTAATGTTTTGTTAAGACTTCAGTCTGTAATTATCACATAGTAGAAAGAGCCTCAAGCATACACAACCAGAGAAATACAAATTCCAAGGAGCTAAACCAGATGTTCAAAGTTGGCTGTGTGTTCTGGAGAATTCCAAAGTCTTCCCCCAGAGCATATCCACTAACAGGATGGTCCAGTAGGCTTCCCAGCTTACAGGTTCCAAGAGCCAGAGTTTTACATAATGGATCTAACATACTCCAAGTCTTGCTGCTCTCACTGTACTTAAAAGTACTAGTCTCGTTTTGAAAATAGGCTGTAGCAGTTATTTTACAGGAACTTCCTGGGGGGGGGGAGAGGAAGGGGCTCAAGATTGAACCCAGGGCTCCCACGTGCTATGCAAACTCTCCACTACCCTCCCTTAGCGTGGCTTCCTTGCTTGCGGCAGAAGCAGTTGTCAAGACTTCTCTGCCAGACCCACAATTTACACCATTTTGATTTCACCCATCTCCATAACTTCCCCTAGGGGGGACACACGCACGCCACGTGAAAAACGGGGCCTGAATTTCCAACAGCATATTACGGCACAATTTCAAAGGTAACTTAAAGGCTTTGTTTGAGGTCAGCCTCACAACACGGAGCATGGACCACGCTTTACCAAGAGGCCAGCTTCTGGAATAGGAACTGGATCCTGAATTCCGACTCGACTGACGCCTAATGCTGTCAACTGGGCAACGTACTTCTTCTGCTCAAAGCTGTCTTCTCGCCCATAAAACAAGGCTGACCAGCGCTACCTCCAAGTGCTAAAAGGATTAAATGTAACAAACATTCCCCTGGCTGTGCCTAACACATTGTAAAGGCTCAGCTAAAAATACTATAGTAGAGTGGTGAACTAGTCAGACGGGATCCTGGATCTGTTCACTATTATATGCTTTTATATTTAGTTTTGCCTTGCCCTAGCAAGGCCCTTCCTTCAAAGACAGCCCCCACCCCCTCAGCAGACTGCATTCCATGTTTGTTGACGTTTTTTCTTTGTGTACGCTTTAAAAAAGCCCTTGTATTTCTCTGAAAATTCCTTTAGGATTCGGGCTTTAAAAAAAACCTAAACTGTTTTATTTCTTCAAAAGAAAAAAAAAAACCCAACCAAGCAAAGCACGCGGTTTTTGTTAATATAATTAAACGGGTGAGTGTATGCTATGCCATACTTATCCTAACTTCAGGAGCTAGCAACGAGGAAGCCATTAAATTCCCATCTCCCAGCCTTAACGCCTGATGGTTTACAGGACTCAGAATGGTAATCTTTTCTCTATCAATTCATTTTAGGCGTGGCAATACTACAAGATTTCCCCCAGCTCCCAAGTGACTTAACCGCTTAGAACAAGTTGAAAAGAGAGCCGTTTGAAAGATCGAACAAATATAACTGAAATAAACAAAAATCGCCCTAACAGAGACTACTACTCCCAAAGGCCCGTATCGATCCAGTGCAGAGGGGTAAAGTTACACACCGCTCCTTCCCAGATGTCAAGCCACACGGCGGCACAGAGCAGCCTTGAGAAACCAGAAGGGCGAGAGCTCACCCGGGCCGAAAAGGGCAACTTTGCCCGGCTTCGGGCCTATCTTGTCCCTCTTGGCGTCATTCCACATCTCTCGCTGGCCACCTTCCCCTCGGTCGTCAGCAAAGAAAACTTTAAAAGCGGAGGCCGTTTTGTAAAAGGAGACACACACATAACGAAACCGACTGCTTGCGAGCAAACGGGCCAGGGAAGCGGCAGGCTGGCGAGACCAGCCTCGGTTTGCACCCGGCTCCGGGCGAGCGGGCAGCCCGCGACCCTCCGGCCGGCCGGGCGGTGCAGGGGGTGCAGGGGGTGCGGGACGGAGCCCGGCCGCCGGCCTTTGTCCCCGCGCTCACCTCGTCCTCCTGCTCGCTGCGGAAGCACAGGCAGGCCGCCCGCTTCTTAAAGCCCTCGCGGTCGTACGTCCGCGTCTGGTTGGGCTTGAACTTCATCCTGGAGCCGGGCTCCTGCTGCCGCTGCTCCGGCCGCCACCGTGGGGACCCGGCCGCCGCCACCCCGCCGGGGAGTCGGGCCGAGGACAGTCACGGCGCTCGGGCGCCGGCGGGGACACGGACGCGGGCACGGACACGGACGGCGCGACGCGGGCCGGAGCGCGGGTCAGCGCAGCCGGGGCGCAGCGGTGGAAGCGCCGCCTCTGCTCGGGCGCCCACCGCTCTCCATGGAGCCCGCCGCCGCTCGCAGCCACTCCCTGCCTGGCCCCGCCGCCGCCGCCGCCGCCGCCGGGGAAAGAGCGAGGCTCCAGGCTCGCGCCACGCGGAGACAGTTGGAGGCGGCGGTGCCGAGCGGGCTGCGACGCCGGGGATGCGCGCCGCCCACTCCGCCCGCATTTAAGCTGGGCCCGCCCGTGCGCGCGCTCGCCTCCGCGCGCCAGCGCGCCTGCGCGCCAGGACCGTTGCCCGGGGAGGCGGGGAGGGAGGGGGCGGAGGGAGGGGACCGGGAGCGCGGGCGGCTCGGACCGGCTCGGGGCGGGGCACGCGGCCTTGCGCTCCGGCTCCACCGGCTCTGGCGGGCGGGCGCGCGCGGGGGGCTCGAGCGGCCGCGGAGGGGCGCGCTCTGCGGCCCGGGGGCGTTCCCCTTAGCGGCGGGCCCCAGCCCTGGGTCCTGGAGTGTCGCCGGCTCTGCGGAAGCGCGGCGCTTAGCAAGGTTAAGTTCACTGAGGTCGCTCTCCCCTTTCTCGAGGAGGATGCAGTAGATCGTCCTGGGGAGCCGGCTGAAGCTCTGAGATGCTCTCTGCTGTAGACAGTGCTGTGGCATCCCCCATCCCGGCTCACCCTCCACAGCGCATTCGTGAATGCCGGCTACGGCTGTTACTTTCCTGTGTTGTGTCTTATTCTACGCAAATCAACGGGATTCTTGTTGTTCGGAAGCTTGCAATCTTGGGCACTTGGGACATCTTCCCATATTCCAGTGTCATTGAAGGGCTAAGATGAAAGGTAGGAGGCCGGACATCACTGGAATTCAAGAAAACCCTAATCCAAATCAGGTGTGGAATCCCAAGTATGTAATCCCAGCGTTTGGGAGGCGAAAGCAGGAGGATTAGGAATTCAAGGTCATCTCTCATACATTTGGAGCTGGAGGCTACACTGGTCAGTCAGCGTGAGACCCTGCCTTCAAAACCCAACCCCCTGAACCCACTAAAGCTCAGATTCCCACAGAACTGTTTTAGACAGCCACATCTGTTTGTTTTTCATTCCTGGAAGGCCTCCGGTGTGCCAGGCGTTGGCATCTAACAAAACCGGTCAGACCCTGCCCCTCCAGGAGAGTAAGAATCTAAGAACAGAGAAATCCCAGGAGGACATATACAACTGCAGCGGTGATGTGGTCGGAGGAGTAGTGTAGTAGGTTTCCGAGATCTTTGACCAGAAGGGGAAGAAGCAAGCTTGCTTCTCTAGGCAGCATGTCTAGGGCCCGGGCAGCGCGGAGAGAAGACGCTAAGAAGAACAAAGAGCTGAACTCTAGAGAACAGAACGGGTTTATGCTGAGGTCAGGGAGGGAGGGACGGGGGAGAGCGCTAAGAAATGAAAGAAGAAGGCCAATGTGGCTGAGGAGACCGGAAGCTTGCGCCTCGGGCTGAGGGCTATGAGGCATGACTGAGAGCAGGACTCTCTTGGTGAGCCGGGGCACTCCTTTGACTGGAGGCTGCTGTGCCCGTATTACTCTCAGCGCCTAGCAGATGCAAGTTTGGAGAATGAGTTAATGAGGAATGAAGCTCCGCCACAGTTAGAAATCAAGCCTGTACAGAGACATTTTCCAAGCCGTCCCTACTGCAGCCACTTGAAGTTTAACTAGTTCCAGCATTTACAAGCACAGTAACCTAGGAATGCCAGTCGGACTGACATTGCAAGTGCTGTTTTTAGATCATTGATTCACACGCCAAAAAAAAAAAAAAAAAAAAAAAAAAAGAAGTGGTCTTTTTTGCTTTGTGTTGTTTTAGATAGGGTCTCCCATAGTCCAGGCTGGCCTCGGATTCCTGACCCCTGATGCCTCCACCTCTCAAGTGCTGGGTTACAGGCATGTTCCCACATGCCTGGCTTCACTGATGCTTTCAAATGCGTGAAGAAGAATCGGTTTCCCTCAGCCCGGATTCCCAAAGTGGAAAGTTCCACCTTTACACAAAGATCGGCTTCTAGTTGGTGCTCAATAAGCAGGATGCCAGAACCAAATGGTGGTTTACTCAAGTCCCATTAATTTTTTTTTTTTTTTTTGGCTTCTGTTTTATGTGTATGGATGTTTTTGCTTACATGTTTGCATACATAACCTGCACCATATATGTGTGTTCCTAACCATTGTGCCATCTCTCCAGGCCCTTTCTCATGTATTAGTTATAGGAGATGAAGCACAGGCTAGATAGTTTTAAGTAAGGAGAAGAGGGGAAGATGTCTGGAACCAAATTGCCAGGAAAGGGGGAAAGTATAGCAGATAACTGGTGAATTCAAGCAAAGGACACCTTGTTTCAGCTTCCAGGAAATGGACTTGGTTTTAAAAAAATCTTGGCTTCCATGCTTACAAGTACTAATGGCACGGGCGGTCGGTGCAGGCCTTTAATCCCAGCACTCCGGAGGCAGGGGCTGGCAGATCTCTGTGAGTTTGAAGCCAGCCTGTTTTGCAGGATGACTTCGGACAGCCTCCAAAAGCTACAGAGAAACCCTGTCTGGAAACATCCAGTACCAATGGCTACATGCAGTGTCTTTGAGCCTCAGCTGTCCTCATCTTTCAAATGGGTAGAGTATGATTTGTTGCATTTTACACAAGGTTGTGCATTCGGAAGTGCTTTGAAGTTGCAAAGAATGTGAAGAGACAGCTCAGGCTGACCTTGAACTATGAGTCCTCTAGCTTCAGTCTCCCAGGGAATACAGGCCTGTTTTGTTAGGTTTTGATGGGGGGACATTTTTACTGGAGAGCTCCCCAAGTCTGTCCCCCTTCCCACATTTAAAGAGGCTCAAGCATTTAATCTCAGCACTCAGGAGGCAGAGGCAGGAGGATCTCTACGAGCTCCAGGCCAGCCTAGTCTACAGAGCGAGTTCCAGGACAGTCAGAGCTACACAGAGACCCTATCAAAAAACAAAACAACAGCAACAACAGAGGGCTAGAAGAGCTTTGAACTGTTTGGAGAAGATTTGGAGTTTAACACTGTAATAAATTATCTAAACTGAACACTCTTTCAATAGTAAAATTACCTACTCCTACCATACCTATGCATTCTTACTTATGTGCTTGCAATTATTTGAGAAGGGTCCAGCAGGAAAGGAGGCTCTTCTGTCTAAGATGGGAATAGAGAAAGATCAGACTCAAGGTCAGATCCGCATATGCCCTTGCTGGTTCCTGTGAATCGGTGCACATGTCAGCTCAAAGCCCCAGCTTAGTATTGTTTAGAGCATTCAGCATCTGAAATGAGCTTAGGCACTGTTCAAAGCTTAGATCCTATCCACCAGGATCACAGTTGAGATAGACAGGCTGTTTTTCTTCTGTAGAACCAGTAAGCACTGGGCTATACCGGTCAGGTCAGTTGGGGACTGGAGTCCAGTTTCAGGTTAATGTCTGTTTAGTTCGTTTACCACAGTATTGTGTTACCTGGGATTTAGCACCCACGGTGCTGCTTCAAACCTTATTTCCAATTTCTCTGAACCTTCAGAGAGGGAAGTAGCTTAACGTGGGTTATATGGCTGTAGAGGGTCTTTTCTCCTGGGCTGTCGACCAAGGTAGCAGAGACTCTCCCAAGCACGATCCCGTGGGGCAGAAGGGTTCCGCTGTGCCCTGGATCCCAGTGTTGCTCTGGAAACTGTGCTCATGAATGGGTCCTTTCAGTGTCTCACTTCTGCGCGATCTCATTTGATGACCCAGCTGTAGCCCCATGGGACAGCTGCTGGGGCTTTTGTTATTTTTGTTTTGCTTTTGTCTTCTCGGTCAGGGTTTCATATATAAGCCTAGGCCAGCCTCCAACTCACTCTGTAGCTCAGCTGACCTAGAGCACAGTCCGCGTCTCAGCCTCAGGGTTTCTGGGGTCCTAGGCCTGTTCTACCACACCCAGCAGGTTTTCATTTATTCCCATTTTACAGAACACGGGACCTGGGCAGTTCTCTGCCGCCCTGCTGTTTATTACATAGTAGCTATTAGTTCACGTGTGTTTCATTCTAACATGGAGTTTGTTTTCCTTTTAAAATGAAAAAGGACCTGAGTGGAGAACAGCTTGAGGTGGCTTGAGGTGGGAAATGGATGTGGAAATCTAGCTTACAATTCCATTTGCTCTCAAGTGCTTTCTTTTACAGAGACACTAAGAAGTAAAGACCACAAAGGCATACACTTTTTTTTAAAATTATTGTTATTATTAAATTTTCTTTTTTGTTTTGTTTTGTTTTTTCGAGACAGGGTTTCTCTGTAGCTTTGGAGCCTATCCTGGAACTTGCTTTGTAGACAAGCTGATCTCAAACTCACAGAGATCCTCCTGCTTCTGCCTCCTGAGTGCTGGGAGGATTAAAGGCATGTGCCACCAGCGCCCACCTGGCACACACTGTTAAACCAACAGTTCTTAACCTATGAGTCGAGACCCATTGTGGTGGTGGTGGGGGGGGTTGTCAAATCACCCTTTCACTGGGTCACGTGTCATATTAATGATTCATAACTGTTATGAAGTAGCAATGAAAATAATTTTATGGTTGGGGGTTGACACATTAGGAAGATTAAGAACCACTGCTCTAACCTACCTACTCTGGAGGACTAGGCAGGAGGAGCAGAAATTCAAGGCCAGTTGGACAGCATAGCAAGTTCAAGACAAACCTACGGAAAACTTATTAAGACCTTGTCTCAGAAAAGGAAAGGAAAGGGAGAGGAGGAGGTGGTCTGAACATATATTTCCAGGGTAGAGCACTTGTTTAATTTATAATTAAAGCTTCAGGTTCAACCCTTAGCACTGCAAGCAATAAAATAAATAAATAGACAAAGACACATATAATAAAGGGTTGGAATTAAGATGACAGGTTTTTTAAATGACTACTTATTGATCCAACTATTATTTAAACTTCAAATGCAGACTTTCTAGTTTCTTCTTTATACTGTTTGTATACTCCTCGTTTATGAGAATAACACTGGACTTTCACATTTGCAACTGAATTCCTATTTTCTGGGTTCCTGTTCACCACCAGGGCCTTTGTTTTAAAAGCCTAGTGTTTCTAAGCAGTCCTCCAGCTGATGAAATTGTTTGCTGGGAAGCACAGTTCTCCGGTCCTTATCAGCCAAGGAAAGACATGTGCCAAGGAGTTATCTTCTTG